AATATTTGTGTTTATTTTTGTAACTCTACTGTTCTTTTAAGAATCATGTTGAGTAGCCAGTGAAATGTGGCAACAATCTATAGTGAATAGATAGATCAGCACACTAGAACCTGGGGGATGTGGGGTAGGAGATTTTGAGGACAGGAGTCAGACAGTGGTCAAAGCTTCAAGGCTGCTTAGAAACCTGTAGCTCAAGACTCTGTCAGTTCATTCTCTTATGGTGTGTCCTCCTCAGGGGAACATTTTGTGAACCGGCACCGAGCAGACCTGATCCAACGTGTCTGCATGGTGGACAGCATCATCGACATGCTGTATGGCACCGTGTTAGATGAAGAGCAATACCAGAGCATCAGAGCCGAGAAAACCAATCCAGACAAGATGCGGAAGCTGTATGAGTTCATGCCGAGCTGGAACTGGTACTGCAAAGAGCAGCTTTACCAGGCGCTGAAGGCCAAAAACAAGTTCCTCATTGAAGATTTGGAGAGCAAATAAATACAATGAATAAAATGAGCTCCCCCTGTTTCCATGGGGCTTCACCCCAAGTCTTTTCTCAGGGGCACAGGTGTGACGCTGGCAGACCAGATGCCAGGTCATGCCAGAGCCGATGGCCAATTCACTTGTGTATTAGTATAGCTCAAAGTGGTTGTTAAATGTATAAGAGTGTATTTGGTGTTTAAACATTAAGAAAACTAGTGGAATGTTACTTGCATTGTTTTCACTTATCTGTATCCCGTTATAATGGAGTAGTGAACATTTATGTTCAGGGCCGGATTAAGATTATGAGAGGTCTAAGGCTAATGGGAGGGAAGGGTCTAAGTATGAACTACATATTGCAAAAAAATTACAAAATCATCAAACATTTATCTATATATCAATATTTACACATTATTTATGTAAAATTAATAAGTTTATTCTACTCTCACTACACTCAATTCTTCAAACAAACAATTTTTTCCTCCTAGCTTTAGCTGCAGCAAAGTCATGAATGATGGATGCTACACTGTCCTCTTAGGCCTCCTTCCTCCTAGGTAGTAGAGTGCTCAACTGTGAGGATGAACAGTGCAATGTTCCCCATCCTGCTCACCTCTTTCAACCTTGTGCTTCTACCCTCAGCTCTCCACATGGCCCACAGTGCAAAGCCAAGCCCTGCAGTGTTTCCCCCAGGGTATGTGGTGTAGAATCCATACCCTATCTCATTCTGACTGCAATCTGGGAGGCAGCCAGCTTTTATTATGTAAAAGAAAACCACTCTGGTGTAAAATCTACTGAAGTAGAGGAAGTAGTACTGGGAAAATTACATTGGGTGGCATTGTATTTTAGGCTGTCTTGCTCTGAAAGCTGCCTCCTAGTGTGGCACTGGCTGAGGACAATGAATTACTGTTTTCACGTTGAACCCAAATATTATTTGTGGGATGATACCCAGTTTGTATATGTGACGGGGTGGTTGTCCTGCTCTGAAATAGAAGCGGTTAAAAACAGTCCTGGGAGAGGGCTGTGCCAGCAACCGATTGGAGGGAAGCTGAGAGCAGCCAAAAAGCTTCAGGGCTGAGAGGGAGCTTAGTCTCTCTCCAGCTTTGGAGAGAGAAGGATTGACTGCCTAGACAAGGACTGGCTGCCTGGACTCAGTGGGCTGGGTCAAGCACGATTTCCAAGCTGCCACCCTTATATGCCCCTGGGCTTAGTAGTCTGGGTTGAGCAGCACTTTCAAGCTGCCACCCTCGTATGTCACAGTTTCAGCACGTCCCTATCCCCACTTACGTGTTACAATTGTTCTGGTAGTAACCCACTTGATGAGCAAACCCCACAGTATTTTTGGGTGCTACAGGGATCTTTAGCTTAGGTAAAAGAAGCGTTGCTGCAGAGTAAATGGGGAAGCCAAAAACGCAAAAGAGTAAAGTTCAGAGATAGAGGGAGGGGAGCAACCAGCTTAACCATAAAAGTTATTGAAGGTTACAAAAGTCATATATAGAAAACTATACCTGATCAAACAAGTCAGGGTTAAAAAGTTATACCTGAGGTAGAAAAGAAAACACAGAGAGAGAGAGAGAGGGAGAGAGCTGGGGTCTCACCACTCCATGAAGCTTGAACTGGTTGGGGTTCCCAGGTGATGGTGGTAGCTCAGGATCCTGAGTGTTGGAGACAGGCAGGGCCCCCAGCACGATCAGTCAGGAGAAGATGAAGTCCCAGTGGAACTGATGCAGAGTTTGAATCCAGGCATCAGAACACTTGAGCGTGGGTAGGGTTTTTGTACGGAAACAACAATGGTTCAAGGGAGAACACTAGATTTTTTTATGGGTAAACTGATGACTCAAGGGTTTTCTTTAGGCTAGACAATAGGAGCTGATCACTCCTGGCTATGGGTGGTGTTC